CTCTCTCTCTCTCTCTCTCTCTCTCTCTCTCTCTCTCTCTCTCTCTCCCTCCCTTCTTATACCTAGACCTTTACTGATCCAGCTCACTTGACAGACACAAGTACAGTTTACCATCATCATCATCCCATTACAGTAAGTGCAACCATGCACCCCTGTGCCCATTGCCATCTCCTTTTACCCGTCACAATCATGCAAAAGCCCCCTCCGTTTTCTCTACCCTTCCTACCCCACAAAAAACCCTCTTTTTTTCCTCCCTGTCCTTTAGTTCATGTCCTCATTCTGACGCACTTTGAGACACTTAAATGAAAAGTGCTTTTAAGTGTAGTAGTAATTGTAGAAATGCAAAAACGAATGTCTTTAAATGTGAGCTTTGGGCGGCAGGTGTGCTTTTTTTGAATTGTTATAAAAGCACAAAACACATTAATCTGTCTCTCTCTAATTTTCTTTGTAATTATGATCATAAAAAGATATGTATCTGACATCTAAGAGCTTCAACCCCCAAACACTATGTTCCTACACCAATTTCTGCACACTAATAGCAAATACATTTGAGCACATTTCATCTAAAGCAAGTTCTTTATTTAGTGAAGAGCAGAAATATAACTTTTGTCTGTCCCTAAAATGTTTTAAGATTTTTCTGAGATGCAGTACAAAATTGTGCTAGCATGTAGAAAGGAATAATTATATTCTATACACATAAAGTCCCAGTAACTTGCCCTTCTTTAATCTACTAATTACCTCATTTTAATAGTCACTGAAATGAGTTAATTTTTAAAAGCGGAAAAAGTAGCAAGTGTTCTCTTATTACAGACAAGATTATTTGTTACTCCTTCAGTGCCAGTCAGTTTGGAACTCTGTTTGCTAATGGAAATGGCAGTGATTAAATTAGATTGGAAAAATCCTGTGTAAAAATCAGAAATGAATTATAAACTTCCTGAAGCAGATAATTTCTCTTTATATCATTCTTTTAAAATGGAGCATATGTATTCTTTCTGTGAACTGAAACAGAGCAATTTACTTAATTGTTCTTTGTCTCAGTTTTCCCATCTGTGAAATGGGCTAATAACATTTACTCTGATTGAGTTCTGTTATAAAATGCTTTGAAGATGAGAGGTGCTATATAATTGCTAAACATTATTAGTATGAATGTGCTTCTTATTTTTGGACTGTACATGCTTCTCTTATTGCTGATACAATGGTTTGTCCTTTTTCTTTAATCAGCAAGCTGATAATCATATAAAGTAATGCAAATAGTGAAATATTAATATAGTGTTTTCTTTTACAAATTAGATTAAAGAGCAAATAGATTGTGCATGACAGGAAAGGGTTTTTCTGTTGATTCAGCTTTCTTTTTCATTCCCCCTTGAGCTCCTTAGCGTGGAGAATAGGAAGGTCTCAAATTTGGAAGAAGGGGCTTCAGAAATTGTAAATACTGCCTAGCTAAACCAAAAACCCTATGTTTTGCTGGTGTTTGCAAAATATAAATGAATGCAGCTGTAATGGACTGGACTCCTAGGAATTTTATATTTTCCAAAAGAGGCTCCTCACATGCATCCATTTTGTTCACAGAATTGTGTGTGTACCCCTTGCACACTGCAATTTGCAACTGCAGCTCTAACTCTTATAGAGCACAAGTCTAGTAAAGAACAGGAAAAGGAGAGAGAACTTCTTCTTGCTATTAATAGCCTAATTAAAGATTTAAAAGCCAGGAAAAATGTCAAGGACAGACAACTGGATCAACATTACAGCCACCTAACTTATTTATTTCTCTAGTTCCTAAATATTTATTAATAGAATATGAAGCTGCCAAATAGCTTTCAGCACAAAGTGACTGTAATGGAAGAGAGATGCAGCTTGCAAGGTTGAGAGCTCATGTGGGTAAGTCATTGGACCTCAAGAGCAACAAAGAATCCAACAGGTTTTATACATGCTAGGAGTTTGTAGCAGGGATGGCTGTATGATTTGTGGCTATCAGTAACCCAGTCAAGAACATGGACCTTCCCATCTGGTGCACCCTCAGCAAGTCTGCAGATGACATCAAGCTGGAGGGAGTAGTAGATAGATACCCCTGGAGGGTAGGGCTAGGATTCAGAGAAACCTTCACAAGTTGGAGGATTGGGCCAAAAGAAATGCCATGAGGTTCAATAAGGACAAGCGCCAAGTCCTGCACTTGGGACAGAGCAATCCCCCGCACCGGTGCAGGCTGGGGGTGACTGGCTGGGCAGGAGCTCTGCAGAAAAGGACCTGGGGGTCGCAGTAGACAAGAAGCTGAATATGAACCAGCAGTGTGCCCTTGGTGCCAAGAAGGCTAATGGCATCCGGGGCTGCACTGGTAGGAGCTTTGCCAGTAGGACAAAGGGAGTGATTCTTCTCTATTCAGCACTGGTGAGGCCGCATCTGGACTTGTGGGGGGCCCAAAATTGAACACACTACAGAAAGGATGTGGATAAAGTGGAGAGAGTCCAGTGGAGGGTGACAAAAATGTTTCAGGGCCTGGGGGACGTGACTGGTGAGAAAAGACTGGGGGAACTGGGTTAATTTAGAGAAGAAGAGACAATAGCAGCCTGAAGTGGGGTTTGAAAGAGGATGTGGAGCTAGGCCAGGGGCAGGCAATTATTTTGGGCAGAGGGCTGCTTACTGAGTTTTGGCAAGCCATCAAGGGCTGCATGACAGGCAGCCAGGGGCAGATAAATATTAATTTTCTAAATTTTTTAGGGGCCCCGTGGCTGGATAGAATGGCCTGGTGGGCTGCATCCAGCCCATGGGCTGCATTTTGCCCACCTCTGAGCTAGGCTATTCTCCGTGGTGGCAGATGACAGAACAAGGAGCAATGAGCTCAAGTTGCAGTAAGGGAAGTTGAGGTTGGATATTAGGAAGAATTTTCTCACGAGGAGAGTGAGGCACTGAACGTGTTACCCAGAGAGGTGCTGGAGTCTCCATCCTTGGGGGTTTTCAAAACCTGGCTGGACAAAGCCCTGGCTGGGATGATGTAGTTGGGGCTGGTCCTGCTTGGAGCAGGGGGTTGGACTAGATGCGACCTCCTGAGCTCCCTTCAACCCTTATTTTCTATGGTCCTATGATTCTACTTCTGAAGAAATGACTCTGGGCTTGTGTGGTATATCACAGCATTTGTCATGGGGGTCCTTGTAAGCATACTTTGGGTAACTGAGGTTTCCTTCACTCCCTGTGATGAAGCGAATATATAGACACAATCTATTGCTACAGATTGTCTGCAGAAAGAGGGAGATAACACTGTATTGGCTTACATTTGGTGTCAGCAGCTATCCGTCACAGACAAGGATGATCACTCCCACAGGTCAAATATAGGGGTGTAAGCGAGTCCAGCGATGGCTAAGAAGGCCAGTCCTAGAACCGCCGACTCTGGCAAATGACACAGGTGGTGTTAAAAGGGAGGGTTGGGCCATGGATTTCTCGGTCTTGTTTCCTTTCCTTCCATTTCTGTTGGTTTTCTGCCACCAGCTTGAGACAGTTTTCCTCGAAGTAAAATGTACCGTCTCTCGCAAGGTGTCGCCATGTAGCCATGTCTTGGGCTGGTTTTCCCAATTTGTGGTGTCAATGCCACACTTCTTAATTTTTGCCTTAAGGATGTCCTTGAAGCATTTCCTCTGCACCCCCAGGTACTCCATAAATACACTTTTGAGCAGCATTTTGGCACATACTTTATATGTAGGACAAACTTTTTTTTGCAAAAACTTTTTTTTTGAGATATGCTTCTCCTTCAGAAAGACATTTCTGTAACTCATTTCATGGCTGTGGGATTGCAGAAAAAAGACCATGGTCCTGTTTGTTATTAGCATAAGTCAGCACTTGTGTGATTTCCTTAAAATGCACTGGAGTTAAACCAAATGAGATAATCCCATTTGTTTCTCCCTCAGCAAAAAAGGGGAGTTGTAATCTGGCATCTTCTGATGCGGATGAGGCTCTGGCCCCTTCCAGATGTTACCTTGTTGTGGGATAGATGCTGATTTCCTGCGGCAAATGGTAACATGCCAGACATTCAAGAGATTTGTCCCTAGAAAAAAGTGGCCAATCCACCACAAAAATAGCAGATCTACAACAAAGAAATTGCTCATTTAGACAAATTTAACATCTGGTCTGTACCCTCCACCATCCCACAGTGCTGTGCTCTCCCTTCCTCTCCCCCAAGTGCAGGGGCAGAGAGGAAGAAAGGAAGAGCAGCTGAATCCCTGACAGCCTGCTCCCTGTGAGCTGTCAAGGAGGTTTATAGACTGCCCTGTCCCTCTTGCCCCCCTGCCAATGCAGGGGTCACCCAGGTGGGGAAACCTAGGTTCACCTGGGCATGTGAGCCATCTGGCACTGGGAAGCGGCTCTCTGGTCCTGGGTTGCTTGCACATCCTTTAAAACTGCAGTCATCTGAGTTTTTCCTGCCCAAGTGCAGGGGGACTGGACCTGATGATCTGTAAGGTCCCTTCCAGCCCCTAACAACTACTAAACTATTGTTTGCAGGGAAGCCCGTTTACCCTTGCCTCTGTGGAAGTGGCAGTGGCAGGGGGGGAAGGGATGAAGACCTCCCAGGCAGCCCCTGCCATCCTGGGAGGCTTAGAGGGAGCTCCATCGCCCATGATGCCTGACAGCAAGGGCGACTGTGCTTCCTACAAGCCAGAAACTTCAAAGAGCTTCTGGGCAACCTGACACAGGATTCAGTGAGCTCTTGGGCTGCCTGGGAACTTTAAAGGGCTTGCATTCCTCTCGGTGGACCTGTCTGGCCCTTTAAAGTTGCCTGGGAGCAGGAGAGAGCTAGGGAGCAGTCCCCAGTTGCCCCCTCTTTATTGGCACCTTTGAACCCCTAGCTGCCCATAGTGTTTTGGGTATTTTTTTCTTTCACTACAAAATTGATGTCTGGGGGAGCCTAATACATAGAAGACCTGAGAGAGAAAAATGATCTGTCCTTATCTAATAAGTTTCATAATAGTCTTATAAGCAAACACAGAAATTATCCCTTAAGAGGCAAGGATGTTGTTCCCCTGGGATACTTCATTTTTCACCCATGAAAACTTACGAAGTCTTTATCTGATTCGGACTCATTCCTAGAGAGCTAACCAGATTGAGAAGATAACTGGTTTGGAGGAACTGAGAACTCTCCAGCATTTGGATTTATCCAGTAATAACATCAGTAGCCTTGGAGGTTTGGAGGAGCACTATCTACTAGAGGTGATCAATCTGGAGGATAATCAGGTAAGGTCCTGCATATGAATCTGAAAGAGTTTTTACTAAGTCCTCAGTCCTTTCTACAATTTGGCTCCTTGAAGATTCAGCCCTGAATCCCCACAATCCTACACTAAAGAAATATTAGAAGAGATTCAATATTTTTTCTGTGGGTCCCAGGAGCTGTGATGCAGCTCTCTCTGTCTCACTTAAATGCTTGGACTAATTTCTGTTTAGGTCAATCATTCTTACATGACATTTGGTACTCCTCTCTTTGAAAGACTAAGAGCATTTTTTAGCGTGGATGCTTCAGGGATGACACAATGTAGTGAACATTTTTTTCCACCCAAGTATACCAGACAACCATTACTTTTGTCTTAGCTATTCCAATATCCCTCAACCCTATCTTTCTATCACAAGTTTCACTGGGGCCCGGTAAGACTTCCAGTCATACAGAATTTTGTACTGTGTTATCTGGTGACTTCTGTTATGCAGCAGAATATTCACTGGAGACTATGATGAGACCATGCAACTCATTTATACCTATAGTTTCAGATGACATTTGAACCCAGAAAAAGTTATTTCTGCAACTCCACACATCAGAGAGCTTTTCAGGTCTTTAATTTCAGAAGAGGCCCTTAATTGATCAATTAGTTTTCCATTAAAGCCAGTTCTGTGTAGTAAAAATCATAGCAAATAAAAAATAACATCGTTTTCAAATATTCTCCCCAGTTTAAGGAAACGCCCACAAGAGTGAACACAATAACTTATTAATTCCTTTTTATAACAGCACGTTCAGGTCGACATTTAAAGGGTGCATCAATGTTTAAAATCTAGCAAGATGGGAAGCTAACTAATAGAATGGTCTTCATTAGCATTAATAACACTGCCTCCATTGCTTCATAGAGTTTCGATTGCTCTTTATAGCAGGCAGAAGCTATTAATTCTGCCTCATCAAAATTTGTCTTGTTTAATGGTACGTGTCAGAAACTGTGGGGTGAGTTGCCACCTTTCCAACACATCCTTTTCTAGGTGACTTGAGGAAATTTGAGACCTAATCAATGTGACAATATTCTCTTCTATTTGAAAAAGTTGTATTACGAAGTTCAGTTACTCTCTTAGGTAGTTCTGTTATTACTGCTTGTATTTTTCTTGAACAGTGATATTAAAGCTAATTTATTCAACCAAAATTCCAGCACTGCTGTCAGTTTTGACTCTATGACAATAGCCTCTACAACAAAGAGGATTTTTTTTTTTATCATGAATGGCAGCAGTGGATTTCATCCTCCCCCATTTTCAAGAGTTAAAAGAAAAAGTCTAGAACTGTCCTCAAAACCCTTAGAACATCTTCTGTCTGAACAGATGGGAAGTGGGAATCATGTTTCCCGTTAATTGATATCCAAAGGCAAATTGATCTGTGATCTTCACCTGTGTGTTTTGAGCAGTGGGTAGAAGAATCTAGGATTGTAAAAAAGGGGGAAGTTCATTGAATATATCAGCTGTGTGGGTTTGGCTTGATACAGCTGGTAAGAAAGTTCTTGTGGGAAATTTTTCCTCTAAAAGCTATGCTAAGATATACAGAAGATAAAGGAAGTGCTCAGAGAAAAAGCTTTAAGTAGGGGAAGAAACAACAGCCAACGAGATGGGGACCAGACGGAGTTTGAACTTGCCGCTTTGGCTGCAAGAAGGCATTATAGGCCAATCAGGTAGCAACCCAACACCAGCACACTCCAGGATCCTTCAGAAGTGCCTTTTGTTTCACTCCCTGATGCTGGTATAAAGAAACTGTTGGCAAGTGGAGGATTTTTTATGATATCCTACAGACCAATCTCTCCTCTGAACCCAGAGTCAGGTAGAACATGCTGGTGGGACAGTTGCAGGGAATTTTGTGTTACCACATCGTGAACTGCATGCGTTTAGTGGATAAAATAATACTCTTCTCTCTGGAGAGATCCTCATTCTGAGATGATGTACTCAATTTTGCCATTCATCAAAAACTCAGAGTAATAGCAGAACTTTGTCTTCATTAAATGAAGAGTGTATGTCTCTCTCAAAGAGCTGTCTCTCATTAGTTTTGCTCTATAATCATACAGCAGAGCCTTTATTATGATCTCAGCAATATTGGAACATTTTTCCTTTAAGTGCTACTCTGCTGGAATTCCACATCCATAGCACCAGAGGACTCGTTCTGCAAAAAACATTAATGCAAAAGGAACAGCAATTATCTGACTTTTAGCAGAAGCTCAGTATTCCAGCATAAAAGAGAGATCACCATCCTATTATATGTGTGGTAGGGCACTATGTGTGCCTGCCACTTTAAGGCCCTGGACCTGGCAGCCTCCAGGTGCCTAATGAGGGCGGCCATTTTAGGCTCAGGGTTGCCTATATAAACAAGGTAGTTTGGCTGCTGGAGGAGGAGGCAACAACATCGCCTGGCCTGAGTGTTGCCGAGTTTCATCCGGAGGTAAGGGAGGAGCTGTAGGGGATGGTAGGAGGCTCCTGGTCCTGGGTACGATGACAAACTACACCCTGCTGAGAGTGGGTGGCCTGGTGGGGCTCCCAGTGGTGCGGGAGCTCCCAGGAAATGCCAGGCCAGTGATCACCCCGGTGAAAGGCGGGTCAGGGCGCCTTAACCCCTAGCCCTCACCTTAGGGTAGGTCGCGTACACTGGAGGTAGTTGTGGGGGTTTGAGACCCCAAGGAGGAGAGTTGGAGCCAGGCATGGCTATGGTGACCTGAGCCCACCTGTGAAGGGAAACCCTGAGACCCCGAGTAAAAGGGCATTACGAGCAGTGTGGAGCCCCCAGTGTGAGGGGGGCAGCGCTGTGGAACCACAGCGAGAGGGGGCAGTGATCAGAAGCCCCAGAGAGAGGGCGGTGTGGAGCCCTGTGAAGGGAGAGCGGGGCTCAGCCATAGGGCGAGAGAGCTGAGCCCTGACCCCAATAAGTCCTCCTCCACTATTGGGAGGCAGAGTATGGGTCAAAGATAACACCGGTTGTAGCACCACAACCTGCTGCCAAGGGCGGGGAGTGAGAGTCCCCTGTGAGACCCTGAGGCACCAGTCATGGTGTGAGGGGTACCCCAGCTCCCCACGTCTGTAAAGGAGGACTTGGAGAGGGGGACCCCAGGATAAGAGTATGGGTCATACATCAGGGCCTGCCAGAGCTTCCCCTTACTGTCCCAGGCAGGGGCCAGGACCAGGAGGGTCAGAAGGGCAAGGAGGCCCACCAAGAGGGATGCCCGAGAGCCAGGGGCCTGGGGGCTGCGGCTAGTGTGAGCCGAAGGTCCCAGTGAGGGGACCATACCCAAAGGGGAACCGATGGCAGGGCGATATATGGCCTAGTATGATGGCAGCAGAGCCCGCCTGAAGGGAGGAACCCAGGTGGGGTCCTACAGTAGGATTCTGGGCCACATTGTGGGGGACTGGGGCATTTGAAAACATCATGATCTCATCAGTGAGGCTTGGGCTGCGGTGTAGGGGAGGAATGGAGCCACAGCTAGCGCCCCCTAACAGCGGGACAGAAAATGGGTAGCCTCCTGCCTAATTAAATATATTAATTAATCAGTTAAGACCAAGGCATGGCAGGCAAGAAGGCGGGCGGTTAGCCCAAGAACAGGTGGGCGGGCCTCACGGAGATCGGCCCCGGTAGCCCCCCGTTACAATATGAAATAGGATTTTTTTTTAACGTAGCCACCATCAAAACACAGTGATGTTACTACAGCAACCTAGATGGTAAAGCAAGTGTGTCTGTAGCACAAGCAGCCTTGATTGCTGCAAAGATGAAAGCTTATCTTTGTATTTCCAGGTGAACTCGCATAGATATTTTTTTTTTCTTGTGGAAGATCAAGAAGCTTTTAAGATGGTATTTTGGGCACTTCTAGTGCTGTAGAAATTACGATGATGTCATGTGGGACGAGATCTTATTATAAGGAGATTTATGACAGTTGGATGAATACTGGTCTAACACCAACATATTATTTCAGCAGTAAATCCCATGACCAAAGATACAGCGCACATCTAGCTTTTATTGATTATTTTAAAGAAAGCCCTTGTTCCCCAGAATTCAATTTCTTAAAACCTTGGCCTCAGTAACAGCTTAAAAGGTCTGAAACCACATGATATGTGGTTTTTGACTTCTGTATTAGGAGAGAAGCTAAATGTGTCGGTTCAAGACTTTACAAAATCATTTAATTCTTTCAGTAGTAGCGCTTTCTAAACAGGTAAATATATTTTTTCAACAGCACAGAATGTTTAAGGAGATTTAGATTAAATGACCCCCATGCTGATTTGCTTAAAATCCAGATTTTCACAAGTTTTGTCACAAAGAGCTTGTCTACAAAAATGTATATGGAATAATCTTCAAAACTGGACATCTTCCTTTCTAGGATCCATACCCTCCACTGGCAGTGAAGCTATTCAGAGCCACTCTGTATTTTTTTTTGCTTTGTTCTTCTGCAGAGGTAGTGGGAAGGCTAGAGATGACAAATCTCATTTGAATTGCCCAGTCCTGTAGCCGGGCATGCAGGTTTGGGAGTCTCTACTAAGACTTTGCTTTGGACACTTAATGAAAAGAAACCTGTTTCTTAGAAAAAGGGAACATTTTGTTTGTAACTCTAAAAATGCAAAAGGTGACGACAAACCAGCAGTGACCTTATGGTTGTTGGAGCCCTGGGCAAGGGAGTCATTTGGGGCCCCTTAAAGGCTTAATTTGCATGATCTATAACCCACCACAGTTGTATCATGGATCTTTTTAATATTCTTTGGGGCAATTAGATAAATAGTCAAGTGTTAAAATGCAAATAGAGCCACTTTCTTGCAAAAACTCCCCCCCCCCAAAAAAAGTTGCAAAATTTTGGGTCCCCCTAAAGTGTGGGGCCCCAGGCGGTCACCCGGTTTGCCCTCCCCTAAGGCCACTTCTGCTCATAGCTATTGTACTTATTATATGCACTATTATAGCTATTATACTTATGCTGTATATCTCTGTATAACTAGATTGCTGATCTGGGTGAGCTTGAATATATTGAAGACCTACCTCTCCTTAGAGGCTTAAATCTGTTAAACAACCCAGTGCAGGTAAGAGAGGCTACAAGAAGCCAAAAATGTATATGCAATGATTAGTTTAGTTTTTGTCCAGATGTTAAAGCAACGCTATAGAAAGAATACATATTATACGTGCTCTCCTGAAAGAAAAGCTCTGAAAAAAAATTTTTCTCACCGAAGTCAGGGGAAAGGCTCCTGTTAACTGCACTGGAAGCTGATTCTACCTCTTAGCAACAGCCACCTTTAAAACTGCCTCCCCTTAGAAAAGTGATTGTCAGCCAGGGTGCCACAGCACTTTGGAGTGCCATGAGATCCTTTTAATGGTGATGCACAATATTAGCATTGTTATGTGTGCAAATACCTACGTACAATTCACAAGATAACCCCAGGGATTTCACATAGGAGTGCATAGGGTCAAAAACAGGTTGACCTGTTGTGGGCTTTCTTAGTTTTTTGCAACAGAAGAATTGCTCTGTTATTTTTTGTGTCGTCAAATAAAGAGTAAAAGCGAAGACTTGGCATTTTTTGAGCAGTGCCTTGAGTATAACCAGATAGAAAGCCACTGCCCTAGAAACTGATTTTTTCCTTTCTGATGGACTCATTCTTTATTGAAGATCCCTGCTGTATCCCCAATAAATATCCCATTGATCAATGACATCAGCATCTAAAGGGGAGTAAAATCATATGTTTTGATTGTGTACAATTCGTCCTGAACAGTACCAAAGATTAAAAGTAATATCATTCAGAGTTTGATGATTTTTCAGTTTCCTTTTGAACTTGACAGTGATTTGCAGTGTTGGGAAGAAATGGTCAGGATTTCAGTTCTCTCTCTTGGTTCAAGATAACTATGTCAGTGTTTTATTCTGGCTTCCTTAAGAACAATCTGATATTGTGTACAATGCAACTAATAGGGAAAAATACCTGTAATATGCTTACCTTATAGCTCATGGCAACCTTTGCTTGACGAGACAGCCAGCCTCCTCAGAGCAGAATTTGATCTTGCTTAAAGATCACATGCATGTGATCTTTTCCTAGCTATTTTACCGTTTTTTCAATTACTTTAAAAAAATAAACAACAATTATCTTAAGACATCTTTGACCTTCTCGAAATTTCAGTAGCTTACCACAGGACTTGGCTTTTTTTTTAGAAATAGTACAAGTACGCTTCATCAGGTTGTCAAGATGTCAGCTCCCTGTTTGATTGCTAATTATTCTTTTATTATTATGTCTCTGCTTTTTTTAGCCACTTAAAAGCATCAGTAATGATTATTTTATACTGTAACTTTTTTAACAACACTTTTTGCAAGATTAGGGGTATTAGTGTGGTTTATTATCTAATTCCCATATAGGTAACTACTCTCTGTCCTCATTAATTCTCTCTGCAGGTAGAGTTAGAAATGATATCATTCTTTAATTCCTGTCCCAAACTATTGTACAGTGTTGCTGCAAGCTGTTGATCAGCTGCCAGATTTTATGTTAGAGATGGCTGCATTTCAATGATCGGTTTATAGAGCACATTGAGATCCTTCAGGGTAAATGGCATTATAGGCTACAATATATTAAGATAAAATACATGTGATGTTTTTGTAACCGAATGGAAGTTAAATATTTTGCAGTGCAGCTTAAATGTTTGCAGATGTAAAAAGAGAACAGTGCATCATTTCTCATATTTCTATCAGGAACAAACAGAATATTGGCTCTTGGTGATTTTCATGTTGCTCCGTTTAACAGAGCTGGATAACAAGAAGATTACAGTGGAAGAAAAGGTACACAATCACTTTAGTTTGGGAGTGTTGCTAAATAATCCTGCTGCCGGCTAGAAGAGAGTTAAAATGCCAGTTATTTTCAGTAATGTTTATATGCAAATAAAGAGTTGCTTTATGTGGGGAGGAAAATTACCCACATGCCAGCTGGTAAGTGTCAATTCAGAGAGTTTGCTTTTAGGCTCCTGACATGTGACTGTATATTTGCTGTATAGTGAAAAGCAATCTATGGCATATCAGTGTGAAAATCTCCCATAAAGTACATGTTTCTTAATAAAGAAATGACTGAGTAGATTTTAGCAATCACAATAGTCCCTAGTTACTAGTTTAGATTCATTAGTTAATATTGGCCAAGTGCTTTGAAGCTGTAATCAGTGTGTTATTATTAAGAAGCATTTTCTTAAGATGGCTCATACTGCTATGTAAACTGTCTGAAAGCTACAGGCAAGATTTGTTTCATGATATTTTTTTTACTGGACTAACTTTATAGTTGGGAGAGATGTTAGACAAGTTTTCGGGCACCAAATGCCCTTCTTCAGGTCTGCTTGTCTAATATCTAATGTCTCTCCCAACTATAAACTTGGTCCAGTAAAAGATTTCATGAAACAAATCACATTCCTTGCTTTTTTTCCATTGTCCACCACAGCTGTGACAACCGTGCAACACTACTGAAAGCTGTAACATCCCCTGTAATTCTGTGCACCACTTCCATTAGCGGGAATCAGATTTTAAAAGAGCTTTTAGTAAGAAATAACTGGAGGGACTGGTTGATAAGCAGATGTTACATAGAACCTTTCACCTCTATACTGACATGTGAGCTATACACAGTGCTTGGGCCACAACCGTGTTAGAACCATTAGGACAGTAAATTGCTACCGAAGTTGAAACCTTGAATAGAAAATTCTTTTTAATGTGGCCCCTACCATGATTTCAGCTCATTCACTCTAGACTTGTAAAACATATCAGAGCTGTTATCAGCCATGACTTCTGAGCAAATATAGCCAGAGCCTAAGTCACCAGCTTATGCTGCTATCTGATCATTGTGGCCTATACAAAATGACTCAGTAGTTCTTAGCCCATTTCCAAATAAGCTGATTACATTAAAAAGAAAAATCCGCCATTTATCAGCACCAGCTAGACCTTTCAGCAAAATGGGCTAGAATGGGATGTGTTTAGACTCCCTTCTCCTTCCAAGATGAGGACTGAAGTCCTTTTAAGGGTGGCTTTGTAACAAACTTACACTGCAACTGCCCCTGTCATTCCCTTCCTGGGAAATAAATGAAGGACTCTGTCTTTCAATTTGCTGTCCTTCACTAGAACTAAGAAAAGACACACACAAAAAAGGAAAACTAAATCATAAACAAAGTCACTGCGCGCTTTATAAGATGATTTGCTTCCCTTAGCCTCTGCCCTCCTTCCAGGAAAAAAATAAATTACGGAAAGATGATGAGATAGTGTGAAATGTTTTCCATCCATCTACTGAACTGTATTTAAACCTCCCCAAAAGATATATATACACGCACACCCACGATTATGAACAAGCCAGATACAAGGATGAGCACAAGAAAAGAAGGAAGTCCTCATTATTCACGGTACTCTGTGCAGTGTATTACCAGTAAGAGCAATGACTTGGCTGTTCTTCTTCCGTTGCCTTCTTATTCTCCTAACAGGTTGCTGCGGTGAATAAATATGACCCTCCTCCAGAAGTGGTTGGTGCAAAAGATCATATGACCCACATAATGTACAGCCTGATGCAGCCACAGAGGATCTTTGACAGGTAACCTTACCTCCAGTTTATGTCCAGTCCTTTGGGTGGCAGTCGAGTAAAGCAGAATGAATTGTCCTCGTCCAGGGGAGGGCTCTCTATTGCTTTCACACCTTTAAATCCATCTAATGAAGAGTAGGCATTCTGTAGTTTGCTATTATCAGTCTGGAAATTAGGCAAATCTTGTTTGGTTGAGTTGATTATGAAATGAAGTTAGTTGCTCACCTCTACACTCTGAGACAGATTGCCCAGAGCTCCATTTCTTTTAAACAATCTGCTGAAGCAGATGGCCATTCACACCAGAAATGAAAGATGCAAAAATTCTATCAATACCCACAGGCAATTTAAAAATCTCTAGAGGGTGAAGCAAACTCTGCAACGTAACTTCTTCCTACTCTATTTACTCCTTCCCTTCACACTGTTGACATCCCATTGTGAGCAAAATGGCTTTACTCTGTAACTTGGAGCACAATTTACATGTTTGGAGCCAAACTTTCAAATTTACACTGAAGCCCAGCCAATTCTGCATTTTGAGAGGGGAAGGTGTTGATCACAGATGAAAGCACAGAGACGAGAGTGAGTTCTAGGTGCTGTTTCCAGGCCTGGCATTGTTTTGTTGTGCATCTTCTCTCTGCTTTGTTTCTTGGCTATAAGACAGGAATGATGGGACTTGTCTACCTCATGCAGGCATTGCAGTTCCTATTTCATGAATGTTTGCAGAGTGCTTTGCAACAGTCAATTAAAGATGATATAAATACACAGTTTTATTATTATTGGCAACATTTCCATGCTCACTTCTGTATCCCAAAGTCTATTTTAGGCAGCTACTCATCCATTTGGGCATCTAAATACATAGCCAAGCACCCTACTTTTAGGCCTAAGGTTAGTAATTCAGAAATCTGTGTGTTTAAGATTCTTGCATTGTCCCCTGGGACTGATCCTGAAAAATGCTAAACACCCCCCTTACATTGCTCATTCCCACACAGGTGCCCGTTAGCCTGTAAAATCAATTATTATTTTGCAGGATTGGGATCTCTTCAAGCACATGACGACTTTGCAGAAGATCCATGCTATGAATTCCTTCTAAACCAGACATAGATGTAGTTCAGATATTGGTTTATAGTTACGTATATTTTATTGCTAAACATGTGCTTTTCAGTAAAATTCTGTATGCTTTCAGAGGTCCTCTATAAACAAACAGGTAAGCATATGGATTGGCACTTAAGGTAGTGACTCATAATGTTAATGAACCTTTGAGTGTTTGCCAGTATGCAGCTGGAAGAGCATGCACCGTGCTCATTAATGAAACGTTCCTAATGATGCTTTTTTCCCTCTAAATTTCTAAATTAGAAAATGCTTATTTGGAGTCATTTTTATAGCTCATTTGCATTAATATCCCTAGATCATACACAAGCCATTTTTTATTTTTCAATTATTAATAATAATTCCATTCAAACAAAATTAGAGAGAGCCATAAAGTTGAAAAGTTACACACTTAATGATCAGGAAATGTCAATATTGCCATTATTTGTGCAATGCCCTTTCTGCATATGTTTTATGATACTGTTTTTAATGACACGATAACCTGCTATTACTTAAACAATACGTGATTCCTTCCGCAACCTTAGATGCAGGTAAAAAGCATGATTTAATCACAGCCCGTAAAAACCTACATGAGGACCAGGAATTTGATAACAGGTAGCTCTTCAGTCCACTAGAAAAATGTATAACATGACCCAAGGTTGAAAACTAGGCATATTCAGACTAGAGAAAAGGCAACTGTATTTTATTTTTATTTTATTTTATTTTTTGTGAGGGTAATTAACCCTTGGAACACCTTATTAGGATAGAAGGGTACTCTACCAATGGAAATTTTAAAATCAAGATTGGAGATTTTTTTTCCCCAAGATTTTGTCTAGCTGAGTCACAGTTATCTGACTCGAAGCAGGATTTATTTCAGGAAGTCCTGGACCTATGTTATGCACAAGGACAGACTAGATAATCACAATCATCCCTCCTGGACTTAAAATCTATGAATGTGAGACAGCTGCGTAGTACTCTGTATACCAGAGATAATTTATGTTGGCCTATGCACAACAAATGAACTGAAGGGTTCCTCACCTTACAAGATACTCCTTGCAATATTGTTGGAAAAAATTACATAATGACATAGGGTCATTTGAAACACAGTAAGTGACGATGCAGTTAAATAAGATATTGTAAAATGTGCTCCTTGTCCATCTGATATACCAAAAAAAAAAATCCAGGAACTTTGTTTAAAGAGCCTAGAGTTCTGTGTGAAATCATATCCACTAATACTGTATTATATCAGTATGGGATATAATATTATTCTGGAAAAGAACAGGTTGAAGAATGAAGTCCAACTCGGAAATCCGTATCGGGGCCTTATGTATTTATAAGAAATATAAATTAAGAGCCATGTTGAAGATAGGAATTTTATATCTTCAAAAGCTGCGTTGGTGTTATTATTCACAAGGAATAGGGCCTCAGGTAGCTAATGAGGGCGCTTCTACTGTGTGTAGATAAATCCTGAATCATCCGTTATTAAACATTTTTCATACAATTCATATCTTCCTTACAGGCCCTTTTTAATAATAGACTCATGATAGTAGTTGCTCTTCTTGCCGGTATCTCTCGGGGCCATGTTGTGTTGAGCCAGTCTTTTTCCAAACAGCAAAGGAAAGGCAACCTGAAAAGATGGAGAAACCAAGAAGGGAAGGGAAGCTGCTTAATTAAACAGAATATATCACTTTAGCAGGTTTTTGTTAAGCAATATGTTTTACATATTTCACCATATTGGTATTCTTAATGTCCCAGGTTATTTTGCTAATATTTTCTTCATAATTGTTGTATAAATATGTTTGTAACCAGAATAAAAGGCAAACAATAAGCCATAAAACACTATAAGTCTACTGAGGGATTCTGCTGCTATTCTGCCGTTAGTGTTTAAGGGGATGTAGCGTGCTACTCTAGGACTCAAAGACCAGGATTCAGTTCCCTGTTTATCCCCAGAATACCCTGTGACCTTGGAAAAGTCATTAAATTTGCTCTTTTTTCCTCTGTTTCTCACCACTGAAGTAGGGATAGTACTTCCCTTCTTCACAGGGATGTTAAGAAGATAAAATCTAATAATGCTCTAGTGCCACCAAGATAGTACGGTATTATAGAAGTACCTAGATGGATTGAGCTGTTTTGCTGGTGTGAGCTAATGCAGGCGGGAAACCATTAGTCTGAACTATCTAATTTTTTTCTTAGCTTAAGCTGGAAGGTTATCATTATTTCAGATGGATTTAGTCATCTATTTCTCTTGCCATTTCCATTATAAACCCTGTTTTCAGGGATTTATATTCAGCTGTTTTAAATCACATTAGACTGAAGTTTGGCGCACAGAAGTAATATTTTTCCCCCTTTAAAATAAAACTTAAATGGGTCAGGCCATTTATTAGTTTCAAAAGTAGGATATTTTAAAAATTATTTCAGCTGGTTTTTGACGTGTTTTCAAATGGCGTAATTTTAAAAACCGTAGTGAAGATTTAAAAAAAATGAGTCTCAAGTTACGTTCCATATTTAGACACCTAAATAAGTGCTCTGACTTTCAAAAGTGCTGAGCGCCCACAAATTGCCTTTACTCTTTGTTTGCAGCTGGATGCTTATCGCTTCTGAAAAATCGAGCTGCTGATTCCAGTATCTAAACATAGACTTGGGCCAAGATATAAAATGTGTGTCTGAAGTTAGGTTGCTGTATTTTTGCAAGCACTTTAGATTCTGTCGCCTTAGGGTCCTGAATGCTTTCTACTTCTGTCAGCGTTGGTGGGAGGGGAGGGTGCTTAGCACTGCACAAGATTGGGCCCATACACTTTAATGACTTCCATCTGACTGAACTATAAAGCACTTTACAAACTGCTGCCCTGTTCCAGCAAACCTTTGAAGTTAATGAGATTAAATGCAGGAGCGTATAAAGGTTTGCAGGGTCAGCCCTAGACACATACAAGGCCCACTTTTTTGACCAGTAAAATATAATCATTGGGCATCTTTGTAGCAGTGAGAGCATTTTGAAAAAGGCCGCAAATCTAAGTTACAGTGTGAGCCAGATACACCCTGTATTGCAGTCTTCCTCATGTGAAAAATGCCAGGACTTTTCTTATTAAATATTTTGTGCTGAATTTATTGTTTAACATTTGCCCAACTGCATGTGCTTCTTTGTCTATTGTTGCTTTGTGGCATAAATTACATGACTAGCGCAACAGGGAGAGGAGTTAAATTCCAGTGATGACAAAATATGCAAAGAGCATATAAAACATGAGTGAAAGTGTCCATTGCAGGAGGTACAATAGTACTTTGTTTTCCCTTCTTGCAGCACTTTGCCTAGTCTTGATGCTCCCTACCCCATGCTGATATTTGTTGGGCCTGTGGCCTGCGGGAAGCGGGAACTTACTCACAGAATCTGCAGACAGTTCAATAATTTCTTCAGATACAGGTAAATTCACCCCAGGCACTTAAGAAAACATGGAGTGGGAGCAAGGCTAAATTTGTTGCATTTTTTTAAAGCAAGTTAAATGGGTGTTGCAATGTGTTCTGTCTCTTACCAGATCTAGATTGCCTGAAGTCCTAATTTATCTTCCCTATTTTGAATAAGCACGCTGTCATAAATATCATGATCCTTTCCAGGTAAACTGCAAAGTAAAAAAAAAAAGCAGCTTTAGTGTTTCTTGCTTCCATCCACCCATCCAGTCTTTGCCCCCCTGTCTCACTAGAGAAGTGCAAACTTTTCTTCTGAGTGTTATATAATGTGCCCAGTTGCAAAAATGTTAGGGTGCCTGTACAGTTTGCATTCAGAAGTGAATAGGAAGCTACTGTCATTGCTGGGACCACTGTAATGTGCTCTCCCTTAAGGCTACTGTCATGAAAGTAAATAGGCATTTTCTACACTTAACCAAAAGCAGTCTCGAGCTTTCAAAGGTAGTGCTATATAGCATACGCTGCAGTGACCTGTAACATCCATTGCTGTCAGTGTTACACTTTCTTACCCCCATTCTCTCTCCTCCATTACCTCTGTTCATTACACATTGGTTGCGTTGTCTCTTTAGATTCTTTGAGGCAGGGACTTTCTCTTCTAGTTATATATACAGTGATTGTCCAAGTGGAGCCCCAATCCTACAGGGAGAGGTTCCTGGGTAATAGTGTAATAACTATTAAGAATGGAGCTAATAATTAGGTATTTTCATTAACTGACAAATGGCGTTGATTCTTCAAAAGCCTAGTACCATAGCGCCCTGGACTAGGTCTTTGTTTGATACTGTAGATCAGGATCTGCCTCCTCTTTGAAGAAGCCTATTTGTATTTCTTCTTGCTCACTG